ATAATTGTAGATAACTGTACATATGTATGATTGAGCTAGGGCAATACCAAGTTCTCAGCATTTCAACCGTGTTGTTTACAGTAATTATGTTGTAGACAATTGATTTTCGAAATTTTTACACGAATCTTTCTCAGTAATTCTTTACCGCAGCCGCAAAGCAAATGTTACCTTGAAAAACGATTACGTCTCTTGTTATTAGCATAGCAACAGATTTGGTGAGCTACTACTTGTTATTATGAGCTAGAGGACGGAGGCACTTTTCATCAAAGAAATTACCGTAATCACTAGGTATTATGTCTTTAAGAAAGCAACGATAGCAATTACAGTGTTAGAAACTTCAGGGAAAGGCGTAAGATAGTGTAGAAAAATCAAGAATTATCTAGCTCGCGATGTGTTCCGCACATGAAAATGTGTTGACCGCAATCCTTGATTTCGGTTAAAAAACTGTAAAAGCAAGCAGATATGAGCCCACAGCGTAAAAAGTTTTGTTGCCTCTGCGGTGTTCTTGCTACAAACTAACCTAGCTGCTGTTCATCCTTAACTTGCTCTACGATCTAATCCCATGAAAATTATAATTCTAATTATAATCATCGTCATTTTTTAAAGGCAATAACCATTTAATCATGATTTTAAGAGCTTTAGAAGCAATTACCTGGTGTAATCCAAGAGGGCAGAGAGATTATTTGATCAATTCCTTCAAAGTTCCAACCTAGCAAAAACTTCTTCTAACTACAACAAAACGAGACTCATATCCACTATACAACAGAAGTCTAGCCCTCTTTAAGGATTCGACTGCAGAGAGCAAGTCGCAGTGGCAAAGTGGCGAAATTCTGTAAATGCATCTGGGTAGGTGTTGAAAACTTCCTTTTTTAGAGGGTTCCTGCACATTTACATAATTTCCGTTTAGTTGGACTTTCCTTGAAGTTGAGACATACTCAAAGTTCAACCCGGAATTGCAAGCTTATGCAGCTGGCTATCTTGAAGGTACATATATAAACACTGGAAGCAAAAGGAAGCAATCTAAATTTATTTAGGTGTTTTGTCTCGGCAGGTGCTACGGTACCACATTCAGAATGCAGTTGAGGACTATTGCAAAAATTTTACACAGTACTGCGAACGTATGACAAGTTTCCTCACGGAGAACCAAAAGTACATAAAGGAGAAGATCAACGCTACCCCAAGAGATGACGTATATTGGTCTGCGGTAAGTACCTTGTGCCCTACCGTCTCCTTCTCCCTCTCCCCCTTCTCTTGTATGAATTTGCCCACCTCAAAATTATGAAAATATTCAAACCATGTCCCTGTTAGAAAGGAGAGTAACCCTTTATTTGTAGGTAAACCGCACTTATCACCAACTGACTGGCTTGATCGCCGGATACGAAGGAAGAGAGATAACTCCAGGAATTACTTATGAAATACATCCTATATTGTAAGTATTGTATTTTTTTTACTGTTCTAGTCCTTAAAATTCTGTATCAATAGGGTGTGAGCAATAATCAGTGGCTATCTCAACTATAGTTACCTATATCATCTTCTTGACAAGAAGAGGC